CAGTATTAGTATATAATTTGATTTTGGCCTTACGACGGAAGGGCGAAATAATGGATGGCTCGTGGGTTTTTGATTGTTTGATTGACAGAGTAAAACTGTAGCGTGCAAATATTTGGCACTGTTTTTTAGTTTGTTACTTGCTGAGCAAGAAAACGTTTGTTTTTATTTTATTTTATTTTTTCATATTATATAGGTAGGGAATTGTGGGCCCTGTGACTGTGTGGCTAGGTTTGTTTCCCACCACATTTGAAGTTTTCTAATTTGATTTTTGAGTTGGGAAAAAAGTGGAAATTGGAATAAGTATAAGAGTATTTTGGGGTCCTTTGAATATTGCGCATTTTGAACTTTTCACATGATGTTGTGAGAGGCTTTTGAAGATGAAATTTTATAAAGATAGAATTTGCTTTTTTTGTTTTTTTTTTTCCTTTACTCTTGTTGCTTTTGTGGGTGCAATATGATTTCACACTACATTTTCACGGATCAAGTTCCATCTTTTAGTAGTTAATAGTTAATAGTTATCAAGTTCCATCTGGAATTTTAAATTGTTCTATAATTCCATTGTATATTGCGATTTTATTGTTTTCTCAATGGAAATTGTATGTGGTGATCTGAAGAGGGGATTCATATGATCCTCAATAATTAGTGAAAAGAAATGTTTGTTTGTTTTTTTTTTTTCGCTTTGAACCTTGTAATAGCGAAAAGAAACCTTAAAAAGAAAAAAAGGAAAAACAAAACTTACGAGTTACGCCAATAACTCAGAGTAAATCAATTTCGGCCTCGTTCGTTTTGCTGATTCGAGTTTAGAATTTGAATTGAGGTGTGATTTTATGTTAGAGCTTTTTACTCTAGCAAAAAAGTTAGATGTGACTGTTTGTGAGAGCTTTTTACTGTAGCAAAACTCGAATTCTAAACTCGAATCAGTAAAAAAAAATATATTCTAGGAAGACTTGCCTGTTAGCCATCGGGTACTTATCTTGATGACCTTCTACAACCTCATCTAATGATTTTTATCTTTGTAATGAAATAATCAATGAATTTATTGTTACACTTTTTAGTAAAAGAAAAGTATGTCTTATTGAGTTTTTTTTTTTTTTTTTTTTTTTTTTTTTTTTTTTTTTTTTGTATACAAGCACTAATTGGGATGCGAAAGAGAGTTAATATGAATGATTATTCTCACCGGCATCTCCTGAATTTTAAAATTATTCTCAATTTACCCTCTAAATTTTAAAACTTCTTACTTTACTCCTTGAATTTTTAAATTGTTCTCACTTAACCCCTTTTGTTGTAATTTCTATTAGGATCATACCGAAAAAGAGGGGGTTAAGTGTGATCATGTAGTTTTTATCTGTTTCTTTTGAACATAAATATAAACAAAAAGACCACGTGACTGCGTTATTATCTTTTTTTCTATCAATTTTTACCAGAAATTGCAATATTCAAAGTTCTGGGAGCAAAGTGAGAGTTTTTAAGGCATCGTTCGCCTTGCGGATGCGAATTTTCAATTCCAACTGAGATGTGACATTCTCTGAGAGTTTTTAACTGTAGCAAAAAAAATTAGATGTAACATTTTCTGAGAGCTTTTAACTATAGAAATCTAGTTATTGTTGCAAATATTGAAAATAATGTCCATTTAAAAGAATTCAACATGGTAATTAAACAAATAAATATAATCAAAACCAATGTAGTCTTGGGAAATACTTTTGTTTTGCTATAACAAAGGAACTTATGCTATACTAAAATGATTATTTTTACTTTGTATTTATATGGGAAACTCGTGTATTAAATTGTTAATTTAATAATATTCATTAGTTATTGCATTTTAGTTATTGATTTTAAAATTTATGATCTAATTTTTTAAAATTAAAAATTTGACGTGTATAAACAGTAAATGTATAATGCGACGGTGCAATTTTCGCCTAAGCTTCATATCTTAATACATACTAGTGAGCTATCCGTGCTATTGCATGGATATTTATTTAGTTATTTTATGATAAAGTTAGAGTAAACAATATAATAGTTAGTTACAAAATGATGACTATGTTGTTAAATATTTAATAAAAAAAGAGTATGAAAATGATTCAAAAGTAGGCAGTAGAGTTATTGTTCACTGAATCAACCATGATTGAAAAGAAGAAGAAAAAAGGGAAAAAAAAGATAAAAGGAGGGTGGCCTGTCGTCCTCTAATTTAATGATGCCTCCTCTCAGATCTTAGATTTTCATAATTCTGATCTGTAATCTCTTAATTTGGTTAGTTTTCATATCAGACAAAGAAAAAACGATTTGTTTTCCCAAGCAAATCAGAAAATCATATATCAAGAATCAAGTTCAGGTATTTGTCTTCTATGACTTAGTAATGTGCCTGGCTGCCTAAGGACTAGAACAGAAAAATAATAAAATAGAAGGTTGATATAGATTTACAAAATGAGAGAAGATGAAAAGTCAAAAATCTCAAGCCAAATTAAGGAATAAAACAGAAAATTTAGATACATTTAAAGATTAACAGAAAGGAAGAAATAAGACTAGCATATATAAAAAATCTGGTTCAGGTCTTTGCTTTTTATTAGGGTTGTTCATGGATAGGGTTGATGCGGGATATGACTTTTTCTTTTCTCGGCTTAAAGGGTGCGGGTTATATATATTTGATCCAAATAATATTAGAAAAATTTCACAACTCAATGATGTTTAGGTTGGGTTGGGGCGGTGCGAGGTGGGTTGGGTGGTCGGTTTCAACATTTAAAGAATCAAAGACTCAAAGTTCAATCCAATATTTAAAGTTCACCATCAAATAGAAATAATAACTCCAACATTCAAACATATAGAAATTCAAAGTTCAATCCAACATCAAACATGAAGCAAAGTAGTTCATCCAACATCAAACATAAAACAAACATAAATTAGTCCACACTCATAAATTAGTCTTAACATAAAGCAAATATAGAGGTTTAATTCAAACATAAAGAAACTAGAGAGTAGTAATGAGTTGCTTGCCTAGGGTTAGATATTAGATGAGGCAAGTTAGAGCGCAGATTGGGTTGGGGTGTGCGGGTCATTATAGGCCCAACCCACACCCCGCCTTAAAACTTCGAGTTAGACATTGAATGGTCCAAAAAAAAATTTAATACTAGAAATTGCATTTTTCAGGTTGGGTTAGGGTGGGGCGGATTGGGCCTGCGGGTTTATGAACAGCCCTATTTTCTATTGCTAACAACATATATCACAAAAAACTTAAATATGACTTAGCAATTTCCTTGACTGCCAACTTAATTATTGAAGGATTTATACAAAATACCAAACGAAAAAAATAGTAATAAAATGAAGAAAAAAGAAACATAAGAAAAAAGAAAACAAATAATAGTATAAATCCTAAATAATTCAGGCAACATCAAAAACTGTAAAATCATTATTAACAGTTGTCCGATACAGGCAACAATAAAAAAAACACATCATCATCACCAAATAACAATAAAACCCTAAGAAAAAACAAAGTTTTCATAGCGGAGGAGAAGAAACAAATCTTAAAGCTAACTTATACTTAAATAACTTAACTTAAATATTAAACAACAAATGAACATGTTGTTGGTTTCTGAAATGATTTCGGATGCAGAAGCGTGTATGATGCAGATCGTATATAATAAAAATTTTTATAAAATTTTAAGATACTCTATAGATTACATTAACTTATGCACGAATAAATTAATCAAATTAATTTATTTACATAGCGAACAATTAGATTGATAATTTGAGTTCTTTTACCGCAAACGTTTCTTGCTCCAAGCTTATAGAACACCCGAATCTTCCCCGTCAATTCCTTGAATCTATGAAGACGTGTGTGTGGACACACCTGAAACAAAACGAGATTACCAAATAAACACTTAAGTTTTCCACGAACACCAACACATGTATGATGTGGAATTTGAGAGAAAATTTTCCTTTCCACCCACTCTAAAATTCAGTCACTATATACTTAGGAGAGAAAAAATTATGTTATTTAATTTTCTGCAATCTCCTATTTATAGAGTAGTAGTCAGACTTACAGAAAAAATTTAATATTTATCTCTAAGATAAAATTTAATAATTATCTCTCACTTCTAATTTGATTTTAAAACAAAATCCACCATTCCTTATTCATATGTTGACTGACCACCGCAAGAAGATTTCTCCATATGATAAGTGTATACTGCAAATAAAGAATAAGATGAAATTCTACATTTATTCTTAGTCTAATTTTAATTTTAATTTAAATTAAATTTAAATTAATTTTTACTTTTTACTTTTTTTTTTTTATTACATGTTTTTACTTTTCAAAATAGATGAAAATTAATTTTAAAAATGATTCCAAACGTTTGTCTTTGTGCGAGGTCACGTTAGCCTACCCTCCTAAACGATCTCTAGATGACACGTGTCCTCCGATAAAGGTGTACCCACACCAGTTCTGGCAGATTTGCATCCCCTGCTTGATTATGTGCCTGACAACACGTCTGCCGTTCCCGAAATCTTCGTCCACACTCGTTCGTCTACACATTTCGTCGTACTCGCCTCGTCCTCTCAACACCTAGCTCTATAAACACGTTTGGGTTATTGACATTGTCCGTGTCAAAGACTCTCTTAACCAGCGACTACAGAAGGAGAATTTAACTGTGGAGACGAAACGGCAGAGTAGTGGGTGTCGCTGAGCCGGTTAGTGCGGCCGGAACTCGCAGAAGAAAAGTGTCGTGCGGCGAGTGGTCACGTGACCATTCCCGTGGGCCCACACAGTCCAAGCCCAAAGATATACTAATGCCTCGTTTGGCAACACCAAATTTGTAGAGACTTTTTCCAACAAAGAAAAGAAATTTCCCATTTTTTATCACAAAATAATAACCGGTAGAGAAAGACGAGTTTTTTCAATCTTTGGCCAAATGGCTGTGATGTGACTCAAGCTGACGTCGCTTTCTCTCACTGTTTTCTTGTACATTAAATAAGTTTTTAGTGAGTTGGCTTCTGCAAACGAGCCATAACAAGCCTTTTTCTGATCATTGTTATCGTAATAGTTAGAAGAGAGAGAGGGGAAGAAAAAAAAGAGTTTTTTTTTTTTTAGCCCCATTTCCTCTCTTTTTTGTCTCTCTCTCTATTCCTCTAGTCTCCTACTATATACCCTATACTTTTTTACTTACTAGTTACTACTACAACTGCTGCCCAAAAGCCAAACATAGTCGTTTTCATTTCAGGCCCTTCAAATTCCCCCTCTCTCTCTCTCTCTCTCTCCCTCTCTAGAAAGGAGAGAGAGAACTAGTTACATACTAAGGCCTTGTTTGTTGTTGTTGTTCCGTCTCCACCATGGCCGAGTTTCCTCCAAATCTTGACGACGGTGAGCTTTGGCTTCCCTCTGATATCTTCCTCAACGAGGTGCCTTCCAAACGCGGCCTTCGTCACCATTTCCCTTCTTGCATGGAGGACCTTCTTGCCCAACGCCTCGCCGCTCTCTCTTTGCTCAGACAGAGAAACCTCTCAAAGCCTAACCCAGAGGTTTATCTCTGTAGGAATTTTCTTTTGAAAAAAAATTATAATTGTGACCTTTTTGCATGGATTTAACTGGGGTTTTACTCATTTTCTCCGGTTCACAGCGGTTCGGACCGGTTCCGGTTCAGGTTCGGTGCTTCCTCGAAAACTATTCCTCGCAGGAGTATGGCTGTCACCGGCTTTGTGGGTGTAAGTCTAAGCTGGTTCCGAAACCGGTCTATGGCGGTTCTGAGGGTTTTTACGAGTTTCAACTACGAAAACCGGTTCAACCCCAGGTAAAAAAAACACTTTAAAACCGGAAACGCGAACCGGGTTTTCATAGGGTTCTTTGTCTTTATTTTCTGTGGTTGTCTTTTCATGGCTCTTGCTTTCATTTTTTCCTTGGTTCAGCTTTAATAAATGAAGTTTGCCGTACTGGGTTGGTTTTTGTTATAGTTTCTTGACTTTGCTTTTGCAGGCTGATGATGTTGTACTGGAAACTAGGGCTAGGGTTCTTCAGAAGCAACAAAACCGCCTTCAGAACCGCCCTTTGCCTTCTCAAGGGAGAAGCGGTTTTGTGGATGGTGGTTTTCCGAGGGTCTCTGGTGGAACAGGCGTCTTCCATCCCCGGGTTTTGAATACCGCCAATATTGCCCCTAATACCACCACCACTTCTTCCTCAGCTTTTGTCAAAAAGAAACAAGGCGAGTTTTAATTTATTCATGTTTTTGGTTTCAAATTAGTTGATGGGTTTTAGGATTTGAGTTTCTTATTTTTCTCTCTTTTTATTTTTTTTATTTTTTAAAATATAGTTGTTTTTATGCTTTGTTTATGATTTTATTATGCATGAATTTTTGTTGTTAGTCAGTGGTTTTGGGACTATTTTTGAGGTAAAAACATACTTGGTTGTAGAAGATTGTGCTAAGATTAATATCTTTTGTACGGTTTTCCTGCTTTTACGGTCTCACCTTTGAATATTTTTTTCTTTATAGTGGTTTTCAACTCTCTAGAGTTTTTGAGAGGTTCAAAAGAAAATGTTAGAGCAACTTCTTGTAATAGCCAAACCATCTCGAGTAAGGCAGCAACATTATCGATTTGTTTTCATTATCGTACTATACAAGATGTTTAAAAATGGACCCAAATTAAATTTTAATTATAGCATTTTTTCCTGCTTTTGGGGGTAAAACATTAGGACCTATTTCTCTAATGTTTGTTTCTAAAGATTTTGTTTTTGTACTAGTTGTCCTCTTTTCTTTCATCTTTTTGGGCATATATGGCTGGTGTAAATTTTCCCTTTTGATTCTATTTCACCTTGATATTCTTATTGCAACGGAACCATTTTTGGAAATGGTCCATGCAATTCAACTGAAATTGAAATAAAAGAGATTGTAGCTAAATAAAAAAATAAAGGAGGTCCACCATTTGGTACAAACAAAGTTGGTTCGTATATGAATAATGCAAAGATTTCATATGTTACTTAAATTGAGGAAACAAAGCGTTTTCATATTTTTCTTGGTACAAAGATTAGTCACTTTCTTTTATTTGTTTTCTGTATGGCAGTTTTGAGAAATAGGCAAGAAATTCCAGTCCCTAATTCTCAGAGGAATTCCATCACAAGCCTGGGTGGTGTGAACAAGGATTTGCATTATCATCAGCTTCCTCCTGATATGGGCTTGCCTAAAGATTGGACTTATTAAACTCTTCTCTGCTGTAAAGTTGTGTCGTTTCTTCAAAAGACAAGTAGAATAAGAGGCTCAAGAGAGAGAAGAGAATAGGTCAAATTAGTGTTTTTGGGTTATGTGCAGTTGATCAAAAAAATAGGAAATTGCAATTTCTTTTTTGTTTTTTTTGGTGGGGGGGGGGGGGGGGGGGGGCGGTGTCTGTGATGTACGGGTGGTGGGTGTGAGAAGTGTTTATGGCTGTATTGCTAATTGCTCTACTTTTAGGCTTTTGTGGAAATAAATAAGTTGTTTTATATTCCGAAGCTGAAAAATTGTTAAACTGATATTACATTAATTATCAGTTATTATTTACTAATGTAGTAAAATGATTTAAGTTCCTCTTTGGCAATGCCCTCTATTGTTCCTTGTTTGTGACTGTTTCGACGGATAAGTGTCGTTTTGGAATATGGTATTTAATAATTGTGGCTGGTTTTGCCAGCTAGAGATCAGAACTTTTTGGCCTTTTTTCTGTTGTGGTTTTGGGGCTTGATGAGAACAAAACAGGAAACATTTATTACCCAACATTATGCATGAGAAAGCTACCATACACTCCTGGTTCCCATTTTGATTTGCAATTTTCTTGGAAGTCGGGTTCCTGTAGATTTGGCGTATGCTGTTCCTTGGCGACTCGTTTGAATGTTGTACTATGTCACAACAGCTTTGGCCTTTTTCCAATTGTTCATCCCAACCAAGTAATTTTCCGTTTTGTTCACTCCTTTTCACTATGGTTGGTCCCAAACGATTAGTATGTTGAAAATTTCAAATTTTGCCCCGCCCGACCCGCCCCGTCTTAAATCATCGCCCTGCCTGAATGAATTACTTAATTTTCCTTTTACTAAATATGAATGATGTTTTTTATTGGAGGGGTTGAGACTTTTATTAGAGTAATGAAGATCGGAGAGAATCGTTAAATCATCACCCTGCCTGAATGAATTACTCAATTTTCCTTTTACTAAATATGAATGATGTTTTTTATTGGAGGGGTTGAGACTTTTATTAGAGTAATGAAGATCGGAGAGAATCGAGGATAAGATGACACTAATGATTTTTATTTATTTTTTCCTCTTGTACAAAAAAAATATTTAACATTTAAACAAATAAAGCAATCAAACTATAGTTGATGCAAGATTTGGAGTTTTCACCGTAAACGCTTTGTTGGCTGAAACCTTCACTCCATGTGAAAAAACGCCATTGAAGGTGCATTGATGCTTGTGCCGGTGGGATTCCGGTGGAAGGCTGGCCGGAATAGATAGAGAATAGTCGTAGTGATGAGAGATACAGAGAGTTGGAAGAACTCGAGTGGTTTGCTTCTTGCGAGAGTGGAGTCCCTTTGCCATCTCATGGTGGGTGGTCTTTGTAAAGATCCAAAAATCGGAACCCTTTTTAGTCTTTTACCTTATAAGTTGGGACTTGGGTGTTTCTCATTTGTCGAGGGAAGAAAATACAGAAAATGAGATAAATACCTATTAAACTTAAAGTATATGAGTTTAAATTTTCACCTCTTATTTTTTATTAATATCTTTTTTAGTCAAATACTATATATTACTAAAAAACTTATGGACAAATTTTATAATTTTTTTTTAAAATTTTATCACTTGTGTCAATATGCCTCCTGAACTTTAAAATGTATATGTTGTGTCTCCTGAATTTTGTCACTTGTGTTAACATGCTCTTTTAGATTAACTTCGTTAAGTTTTTTTTTTTAACAGAAATACTTATAAATGTCCCATAAACTTTAAAATGTACATATTTTGTCTCCCAAACTATGATATATCTCTAATTTTTTTTTCTCCATCTTTATTCTATTAGTTTTTTAAACGAAAATATTGATATGATGATTAAATTGCTAATTATTAAGGGTGACAATTTGTGTTAGTGAGTCGCGTTCGAGTCAACCTGTTTATTAATCGTGTTAGAAAATATTAACCCAAACACAACCTGTTTATTAAACGTGTAAAAAATGTCAACCTAAACACGAGTCATTTATTAATCGTGTTATCGTGTCAACTTATATAACTCGTTTAAATTAATATATTGAATAAATAGCTAATATAATAATGATTTAGTTAACACAATCAAGACAGATTTAATATATTTATTAGTCAATTTATCTTTTTTAAGAAAAATAAATGAATTTTACTTACAAATATTAAAATTCACATTATTTGTTTTTAATGTCATATAAATTTTCATGTTATATCACATATCATTAAATTGTAGATGACACATATAGTTAATCGTGTCAATTCGTATCACTTCGTATTAAAAGGTTAACCTTAATCCAACACATTTATTAATTGTATTAATCATGTTAACCCGATTATGACCTAAATCCATTTATAATAAATTCAAACCCATTAATTTCATACGATTTTTAAATCGTATCATCGCGTCGCTATCCGGATTGCCAACGCTACTAATTATCTATGAAAAACAATATTCTTATAAAGGAGCAGACGATTTCCCCTCCTTTATAACGACTTTTAACCCCAGCCATGTTGACGTCCGGAAACTCTTCAAAATTCCAATAACAAAAAATCAGCTGATTAAATCACGCATTTTGCATTTTCGTTTTCATTTTCTCTCCAATCAAACAGGAAGTACAGAGCTAGAAAGAGAGAGAAAGCTCGGTGAGAGGAAAATAGACAAGGATGGGAGTTCCACGGGCTATCGAGGCTCTGAGCGAACGAGCGGCGTCTGTACGAGACGCGCTCCAGAAGAGCCAGATGATCACCGACGGCATGGTCGCCATTCTCGGCTCGTTCGACCACCGCCTCTCTGCTCTCGAAACCGCCATGCGTCCTACTCAGGTCCTTTCTTCAATCTTCACGATCGCCTCTTTCTCTGTTCTTTCGGTTTCCAGAGAATATCGATCATCCCGAGCCAGACGAGAACCGATTTTCTCGTTTCGTGAATCGTTTTGATCTCCGCGTAATGCTTTAAGAAATTTCGTTTCTGATTTTGCTTTTGGTTTTTCGGTGGTTGTGTTAGATACGAACGCATTCGATTCGAAAGGCGCATGAGAATATCGATAAGACGTTGAAGGCGGCGGATGTTATATTGGCGCAATTTGATCTTACTCGCAAGGTTAGCTTAATGTGGATATTTGCAGTATATAGAATCTTCATTATTATTATATCATCACCATCATCATCGAATGTTTAAGTACTTAAACAGTTGAAATCTTACGTGAAATGCAATTTGAATTGTATATCTTTTAGCAATAAAAATTTTGATTCATTCTTCTAAGAATATAGTATAATCAGCTTTCTTTAATGCTGAAGAACATGTATTCCACATTTTCATTTTGGTGATATAAATCCTTATATAAGAGGTTTCCTCTGTTTCTTTTGTCAATCAATCATATGATGTGGAAAGATGAGCAGGTTCAAATTTCAGCGTCATATAATTATTAAAATGCAGTACGGAATTAATAATCAAACTTCAAATTTAGTGAGTTTCTCAAAAATCTGTTATTGTGGTTATTTTTAAAGAGGAAAATATTATTAGATTTGGCAGATCTCATTGTTGCTATTTTTTCTTCTTTTTTGTGGCTCTAATGGTTGAATTATTTTGTTCTTCTAGTAGCTTGTAATGTGGAATATTAATACAAAATTTTCATTTTTATTTCAACTTAAATATGTAGGCTGAGGCTAAAATACTGAGAGGACCTCATGAAGATCTTGAGAGCTATCTTGAAGCAATTAACCAGTTGAGAACTACTGTCCGCTTCTTTAGCAGCAACAAAAATTATAAGAGTAGTGATGGAGTGCTTAACCATGCAAGCAACTTGCTTATAAAAGCTATGCATAAGCTAGAAGATGAGTTCCGACAGCTTCTCGTAAATTACAGGTTTCTTTTTAGGTCTTCTTTCTTGTATAGCATGTATCGCAAATTTATTTTGTTTTGTGTTACCCTGTTCATTCGGAATGTTGAATAATATGTTTGATCCAAAAAACAATATTCTTATAAAAACGTATTTTGATAGATATTAGATATGGAAAAATAGCATTGATTCTTAAATTGTGATTCTAATACTCAAATATATCTTAACAGATACACAGATGGAAAATGAAGTTTAATCATGAAACCAAAGGGGTTGGAGTTCGAATAAAAGAGAAAAACCTGATAATCCACGTCTTAGAATTGTAGTCATAAAAACGAGAATAACGACAATATAATGTTCTCAAGTGGATACTTTGATAGGAAAATCTGTAGATGAGTTGTCAAATAGAGTTGTTGTTACTCTTTTGTTTTTCCTTTTTCTAATGACCATTTTTTCACTTATGGAAATACGCCGTCAAAATAATTGAGAGAATTTGAAGTTTAATCTAATCCACTCCAAATTCAAACCATTATAATTCTCGTTGACTATATAACAGCCATCAATTTTCTTACTGTACATGCATTAAGCTTTCATTGGTTTTCAATTATAACATGCTTTATTATCATTTCCTAATTCTTCCTCTTCATGTCACATGGATTATTGATATTATAAAATATGATAGTTGGGTCAATACCAATATAATTTTGGGGCCTCTATTATTAGCTATGTTCCTTTTGGATTTCAGCAAGCCTGTAGAACCTGATCGTCTTTTTGATTGCCTTCCCAACTCTCTGAGGCCGTCATCAACACCAAGTGGACACAAAAATGATTCAAGTGGCAAGAGTCAATCTAACCACAATAACAAACAACTACAAGCTGCAGTTTACAAACCATTAACTCTTATTCCACCCAGGGTTCTGCCATTACTCCATGACTTGGCCCAACAAATGGTTCTGGCCGGCAGTCCACAAGAGCTACTGAGAGCGTACAGGTAATTTTCTTCTTTGTGTTCTTTTCATCTCGATCCTTTTTGCACAATTTTCGATAGTTCCCCTGTTCTTTATGGAATTCGACATTTGAAGTGAAGGATTTAGGCATACAAAAAGAAAATGAAGAACAACAAAATGGTTTTTGTATTGTAGCAAGAATTTTCTTTTCACCTTTTCTTATCCATTGGATGCTCAGCACTCACAGATTTCAATTCTGTACATGGCTGCTCGATGCTGAGCTGGTAACCAAGAATGATCTTACACAATCAATGCAATAATTAACATGAAATTTTGTGCTCCAGTGAAGTTTAATCTCGTTCTGTTAGTATCATATATGTAGATTGGAATGATCAATTACTTATAGTTTACTGAGATCGGTGTAGTTCTTCAATACGCTTAAAGCTAATTTCTACCTCTTTATGCTTTCAGTTCAGCTGATGGCATTGCAAGTGCATAGAAAATGCTTAGGTATTACTATTTTCTATTTATTAACAGGGACACTCGAGCTTCAGCTTTAGAACAGAGTCTTAGAAAACTAGGTGTAGAGAGGCTAAGTAAAGAAGACGTCCAGAAAATGCAGTGGGAGGTTTTGGAGGCCAAGATTGGAAATTGGATCCATTTCATGCGGATAGCTGTAAGTATTCTTTTGTCACATTATAACTCACTAGGTAGCAGATACGTCTTTCAGCATTTTTATACAGAGCTTGAAACAGGTCAAACTACTTTTCTCTGGTGAAAGGAAAATCTGCGATCAAATCTTTGAGGGTGTTGATTCTCTTCGTGATCAATGTTTTGCTGAAGTTACTGCAAATAGTGTGTCTGTGCTCCTCAGTTTTGGCGATGCTATTGCAAAAAGCAAGAGGTCTCCTGAAAAATTATTTGTTCTTTTAGACATGTACGAGATAATGAGAGAGCTTCAGTCAGAGGTATGAAATTAACCAGTTCTATAATTTAGTTCCATAGTTGCATTCTGTAAAATGGTTGATTGATGGAAACCTCAATAAATTGACAGAGAACGAGACAGAGGAATGAGAATTTTATTCCAATGCAAGAAATCAATTCACTCTAACAATGGTGCTATTCGAGAGATCACCGACTCTCCTTTCTAAACTCTATACAACCCAAAAGATAACTCACCTCTCGGGCCCTTCCTCTTATTTGTAGGCCCCCTTACTAACAAATTAAGGCTTTGATCATTTCGCGGATTTGAGTTTTCAATTCGAGTTGAGATGTGATATTTTTTGAGAGATTTTTACTGTAGCAGAAAAAGTTGGATGTGATATTTTCTGAGAATTTTTTACTGTAAAAATCTAAAATTAAAAATTTAAATCGGTGAAATGAACGATGCTAACTAAATTCAATTATCATTAGAAATGCTTCCTCAACAAGATTCCTCAACCATCCATGTCAGCAACTAACCACTAACGTTTCTTGGGTCCGATCCTTCCCTAGCCGGCCAATGTCTAAAAAATCGCCCCACTTGGGCCCGTTCAAGAGCCCAATTGAACAAGGGTCGTAGGCTTCACCATACGAACTTCAGCTTTGATTTCCTAGGCCGTTCGAGAAGGCTCCGATCAAGAACTCGTCGTTCGCCTCTCTCAAGGGAGCTGAAAGCAGCTCAAACTTCTCTCGAAATTCCGCCACTGACGATTCTTGTTGTAGGGCGATCAGAGCCTCGTAATGATTTCCGGTTTGTGATGACCGGAATCTTTGTAACACAGACACTTCGAAAGTCGGCCAATCCACTACACCGAATCTGGATTCCATCCATTGGAACCAGCTCAAAGCTTTTCCTTCAAGTCCAATCATGGCTGCTGCCACCCGTTCCGCCGCCTCCACGCCCTGAACATTGAAGTACCGTTCTAGCCGGAATAACCAGCCATGTGGATCTTTGCCGTTAAAGATAGGAACTTCTATCCGGCAAAATCGCGAATCTCCGCCGCTTTGAGCACTCGGCGCCGTTCCATATCCAAAACGAAACACCGCCGTCGTGGCACCACCAGCAACTCCACCGTTCGAAATTGAAGCCCTAGCTCGCTCCGACGGTGGGTTCTCGGCTTGTTCTGCCAGTACCGATGGAACTTCGTTGCCGTTCGAAGTGGAAGCCCTAGCTTGATCCGCCGGCTGATTCATGTTACGTCTGGACCTCATCCAAACCGAGAACTCCTTCATGTATTCCTTCACAGCTCCGATGTCCTCCGAAAGTGTCCGAAAATTCCTTTTGAGTTCTCCGACATCCGACTTGAGTTCTCCGACGTCTTTCTCAACAAATTCCAATCTCCCCTCCATGTTTCTTTCAGCTGTCCTAGTTATCATTCCCGGACGAAACTGCTCTGATACCAATTTGATGGAACCTTAATAAATTGACAGAGAACAAGACAGAAGAATGAGAATTTTATTCAAATGCAAGAAATCAATTCACTCTAACAATGGTGATATTTGAGAGATCACTGATTCTCCTCTCTAAACTCTATACAACCCAAAAGATAACTCACCTCTCGAGCCCTTCCTCTTATTTATATGCCCCCCCTACTAACAAACTAACGAAATTCAGTTATCACTAGAAATGCTTCCTCAACAAGATTCCTCAACCATCCACGTTGGTTCTTATCATTGATTAAGTACATATTGGTGATATCATAACAGGATAGTTCTAATCTATGAACTTCAACAAAGTTTGGTCACAAAAAGTTATATGGGATTTGTTTATTTCACTTCAAATACATATATTTTCATATTTATGCTTCCATATATTTGATTCTTTTTCTGGGTGGGATGCAGATTGAAACACTATTTGGAAGTAAAGCATGCTTTGAAATGCGGGAATCTGCATTAAATCTAACAAAGCGGCTAGCCCGGACCGCCCAGGAAACATTCGGGGATTTTGAAGATGCAGTAGAAAAAGATAATACAAAAACTGCTGTCCTCGACGGAACCGTCCATCCTTTAACCAGCTATGTGATCAATTATGTCAAATTCCTATTCGAGTAAGTTGCTACTTTTGTGCTCCACCTTTCTTGCTATCGGCTTCCTTTTTGGAGATGTAGCAACGTTTTACATTCTAAAATGGCTTCATTGAGTTTTACTAATTACTTAATAGTGATTACCTGTGTCTTTGTGATAAGGACCATAAGGTCTGCAGTTTTATCTGTTTGTTCGATCTGTAGCCTTCTGTATTAGCTTCAATAGATATCCATAATGATTTTTCTTCTTCTTCTTCTTTTTTTTTCCTGGTTTTTGGCCAATATATCCATTTATTCTCGCCTATATGATGCATTCATATTTCAGTTTGATTAATTTTCTCAAACATTTGGAAGAACTATGCATATATTTATTCTTTTCTCCCAGTTGTAATTTTTCTCTCTCTTTGCAGCTACCAGTCCACACTGAAGCAACTTTTTCAAGAGTTTGACAGTAGTGATCCTGATGAGCAGTTGGCTTCTGTAACTACGAGAATTATGATGGCTCTCCAGAATAATCTGGATGGAAAATCCAAGCAGTATAAAGATCCTGCTCTCACGCAGTTATTTCTTATGAACAACATCCACTACATTGTGAGATCTGTGAGGAGGTTGGTTATAAATTTTGTTATTTATATCTGACTATACCGCATAGTAGCTTCCATGAACTTATAATGTACATACAGGTCGGAAGCAAAGGATTTGTTGGGAGATGACTGGGTGCAGATACACCGAAGGATTGTCCAACAGCATGCAAATCAGTACAAGAGGGTTTCTTGGGCAAAGGTTTTGTTTCTTTTATCTTTATTTATTATTGCATATCAATATTTATATCCCTAGTAACATGATTTTCTGCCATATAAAATTGAACAAGTGAAATGTCTTGCTTGGTCTTGAATTCTTGATCAAATAGATTTAATGCTAAATACAACTCTGAACTCTGATCTTCAATACTTATCCATACCATTCGTGCTCCTTAAGTAAACCCTCTATTGATCTTCATCTATTAATTTTATCATGAGGACATCCTTTACAAACATGATCGCAAATCACACTAATTTCTTAAGTACTGCTTGTACACTTTGGTTGGCAGATTCTTCAATGCGTCACTGTTCAGAGCCTTGGTTCTTCAGGCAGTGGTGGCGGGATGGCAGGAGGCGATAATAGTGGCTCCGGCGGACTTTCTAGAGCAATGGTGAAGGATCGGTTCAAGACCTTCAACATCCAGTTTGAGGAGCTTCATCAAAGGCAATCTCAGTGGACAGTTCCAGACAGTGAATTGCGAGAGTCTCTTAGGCTGGCTGTTGCTGAAGTTCTCTTGCCTGCTTACCGATCTTTCATCAAACGTTTCGGGCATGTTTCCTAATTTCCATCACCTTTTTATTATAATTATTATTAGTTCATTAATTTTACCTGCATCTTAAAGGGTGTTCTTTTTAATTTTTTATTTACAGGCCTATGATCGAGAATGGAAAAAATCCTCAGAAGTACATTAGATACGCTCCTGAGGATCTTGAGCGAATGTTGAACGAGTTCTTTGAGGGCAAGACCTGGAGTGAGCAAAAGCGGTAAATATTGTATAGCAATTAGGACCTGTTTGTTTAACCTTAAGGCACTTGTCATCAACACAACATGAGGTGAAATTTATGAGCGATTTTATACAATCTGTGCCGATCAGATTTTATTCCTAATTCCAAGTAAGAATTTTTTTGATGTTGAAGAGTCACTTCCATTATTTTATTCTTCTTTTTTTTTTTTTTTTTTTTTTTTTTTTTTTTAATTTCTTTAATATTCAAATAAAAATATGCCAAGTATCTAAGAAATTCCTTAAAGAAAACAATGAATTTGTAACATTTAACAGTAAATTAGTTAAAGTGTCTTTTTGACTTTTTATTTTTTATTTTTTATAGTGAAAGTAATTTAATAATGTAGCTCACCTGTATTCAGTTCAGCATGATATGCTTCTAATATCACCATTGGCAAAAACATGTGTATGTCGTTTTTCACATCATGTCGTTCTTTGAGATAATTGGGGTTCTGCCTTCAGTGTCGTTCTTTTATGTCATTATTATAAGGATTATTATCACTAGTGTCGTCTGAATTTTAAGGTCATTTTCACTTTATCCTATAAACTTTGAATTGTTTTCACTTAATCCCCAACATTTATTGTGTACCTAATTTATTGTGACTTGTGAGGCCCTGGTGTTGAGTGCTAGGTTCATCCCTGTGGTAGGGTAGGAAGGTGATCTGGTCAATTGAGCTTCTAGTGTGGACGGTCCTCAGCTGAATTTTATTTATTTGCTGATTAAAAGTGATACTAAAAATGATAAAAGAAATATCTTAAACAGAGTAATGAGTAGAAAGCCCCGAATACTAACCAACTCTTGCATGAACCGCCAACAGCTTTGCCAAAAGCATCAAGGATGCCGAAGAAAATATAAAGTGAAAAAAATATCCTTAAATTACAATCTGAGTATCTCCATTTTAGGGACAAATTTGCATGCCAATGCTAAATATTGACATTTTCAATATTGCAATGCAACCTATTTTTGATGTTAAATTTGGTATATGTTATACATAGGGTCAAATTTGACACCAAATATAACATGCCCTAAATTTTGATAGGGCCAGATTGTTTTAGAAAAAAAAAAAAAAAAATTTCTCCTAAAAATGGTACTTATTTTAGTAATGCCCTTAAACTTCAATACGACACCCTCACTCGATCTATTAAAAACTGTTCAAAATGATACTTTTGTTCATTCTTATCTAAATCAGTTTGGACTTTGGACCATGGTTGAGGTACTTTTCTTTTATAATAAGCGCCCCTTATTACTTGAGGTACTCATCGGTCCTTGGGCTAAATTTTGCTAGATAATGCGTTGCACTATTGGCAGTCCTATAAAGATGTGTAAACAAAACCTGGGAAAAATGTGAGGAATTACATATATCGGAAACGATAGGACCAAGCAATAAAATCATCGGAAGATTACTTGAGGCAAGCAATAATTTAAGAATTTATAATGGGCTCCCACCAGAAAATTGTGCCAAAAATTTGCTAACTTTGGGCTCCAGTGTATGCAACAAGTGATGATTGTGTGAAAAAAACTCAGCACTAACTCCAAAACCCACCATTTTAACTTAAATCAAGGGTGAGAATGGCATTTTAAGTTTGAGGGTTTTTTTACATGGACACCCCTTCAACTTTAAGAGTTTTGCAAACTAGTCCCTTAACTTTTTCTTGACAATTCAGCCTTAAACTTTAAAATTTATTATATTGTTGGTCAAATTAAAAACGAAATTAAAAATTTGTAAGGGATGTTCCACATGAGTGTTTTATAAGAATACTTTTGATCTTTTTACATTGAATTGAACCTTTTATACATGTTATGAATGAAATATTTTTTCAAATTGGGGGATCCCTAATTTTTCTTCCAAAACAGTTAACTCCCAATTTCAAAAAAATTTCACTCGTGATGCGTATATGAGGATCAATTCGAGGCAAAAAGATATTAATTATCCTCATTAAACACTTACGTGGAAGATACCGTCTAAATTTGTAACTTAATTTTCAATTTGACCAATATTACACAAATTTTAAAGTTTAAGGGGTGAATTGCCAACAAAAAAAGTTAAGAGACCAATCTGCTAAACTCGTAAAGTTGAAAGGGTATCCATGCAAAATAGTCTAAGTTTGAGAGCATACCCACAGTTTTGGGGAGGGGAGGAGAGGGATTTTATAAACTTTTTCTGTCCAAATTTTGATGGAATTGGATGGAGGAAGAAACTTGACACATTTAGGTAATTTTTTTTTTTTTTTTTTTTTGGACACATTTAGAAAATTTAAGGAAGAAAATAGTACTTATTCAAAAAAAAGGAAGAGAATAATATATATTTTGAAGTTCAGAAAACAAGTGGCCTTATTCTCCAAAAAAAAAAAAGTGGTGTTCAAAAAAAAAAAAAAAAAAGAATGGTGCATATGCAAAAGTTATGGAGAAAACTAAATTATGGAATGGAATTAAAAAGAAACAAATGAAATTCTGAAATGAAAAGAAAAAAGGGAAAGGGTGAACGTCGTTTTGTCAAGCGTCACGGCTACGCACATCGCTTCGCAAAAGACTTTTTGGAATATTTAACCGTTTTCCAAGGTATAAAACTGTTCTTAACTGCCTATATCAGTCCTTTCTTTATTCTTCTTTTTCTCATTGATCTTTCTCAAAAAAACAGTATTCTTTCTTATTAGTTCCACATTCGTACCAAAACCATATAATCTTTAATTATTTTCTCCCATAATTAGCATGTTCACGCAACATTTTACACAAAAAGATCGCAGCCAAGAACATCTGGAAAGCAATTAACAACGTAAGTATACAAGATTTACTTTTCTCGTATAATTCTATTAAACTTCATTAATTATCTGTTCTAGAGAAAATTATGCATGGTTGTTATCTATTTTGTGTATCAATATTCCTTTTAGTAACACTAAAAGTACAATTTTCCTATTATGATGCAGTGTTCACTCTTCTTGGAAGACTTGATTATGGCCACTTTATGGTGCAAAGAATCTCAAACCTTCAAAAAAGTGGCCGGTAATATTGTGCTTGTTGGTTTAATCGGATGCCTAGCAACCATATTTCTAATCTCTCTTGTCTCCTTTAGCAACTACGTAGACTCAAAATCCGGACCACAAACCGAACCCCTAGTGCTCTACTTAGATTCATTTTCCGTGTCGGATTTCAAAGTCTTCAAATCGTCGTTTTCCGCCAAATGGGACGCCAAATTAACGTTTACTAACCGAAATGGCGGCTTGAAAATCATCCTCAACGGTTTCAAGATCTTTGTGTATCATAGAGAACGTCAAGCCTTGTCATGTGCTATAGTGGACGGCATGGAAATCGATCCAAAGACGCAGAAAACGGTGACGATCATGTTCGATACTCGAAGATCGTGTGGATTTGAAAAGCCGGCGAATAAGTACCAAGTTCTCAATGAGTTAAGGGAAGATGTTAAGAGCGGTGTGCTTAGGTTTAGTCTGAGGATGAAGATTCCTGCTTTCTATAGGTTGCGCCTGCTTGGTCTTGGAACGACTGTCGTTTTGACTCCTTATTGTCCTGCTTTAAATCTTGAGTTTTTGGGTGCAAAAGGTGAGGGAAAGATGGTTGGTGGGAGGAATTGCTCCGTTCCCTTGCCTAAATTATGATTTTACCTAAACTTTTTGTAATTACTAATTTAACAATAAAATTATATGACTTCTCTCCAATTTTTTTTTTCTTTTTTTTTTCCTCTCTTCTAATATGAGTTCTCTTTAATTTAACAAATATGATCTTTTTTTTTTATTTCTTTATGTTGGATGATTTATTTTGAATTAGTGCATAACATATTTGGTATGATTAGAGAAATTGACCTTATCAGATTCGGTTAGATATTATTTGTTATATATAGCAAGAGATCGTAGCATATTTATGGTATGTATAAATATATAAGGTTCTGTTAGATTTTATGCCATTAATAAGAAATCATGATTCCTAGTTTTCACAATTGGGGTAATGACTAATTATCAATTTATGGCAAGCAATCAAATTTCTCTCATTTTCTTCTTTTTCTGGCTTGTGTTGTCTTTTCTGGAATAATCTATTCCACCAATACAGTCCAAAACATATTTGTTATGCACAAGGAGTACTTCTTAGTAAAAGCCGTTCCAACAATTTGGAATATATAGCAAAAGCACTTTGTATACCCTGCTCTGACAAATCCCATTTGTCCCAATTTGCTTAACATAGAACTCAACAATGCCCATACACTCTTTAACGCGTTTTGACATTCAAACATATTTACAACAATTACCTATTTTTGTACATTCCCTTCTCTTCATTTCCTCAATCTCTCTGAAAATCCCACATCCCAAAATCGCTCTCTCTCTCTCTCTCTCCCTCTCCCCCCAACAATCTCTCTCCTTGAGATTCTAGTGAGAGGGAGAGAAAACGGATTAATTTCAACCATGGCTCCGCCCTCTTCCTCATCCTCTTTGTCTTCCGATGACCAATCTAAAAAAGAACCTGCCCGGTCCCTAGATACAACAAATCAACCTCATAATCCCACAACAACAGCAACAACAACAACAATAAGTTCTGCTGGTGGGGCCTCTAACCCGCCAATAGGGTATGGGACCCCTAACACGCCAATAGGGTACCCTCCACCGTACCAACCCTACCCTCCCAACAGACACTACGCCTATAACCCCTATACTCAACCCCCACCACCCCATTACTACTACGCCAACCAGAACTACACATACTCTACCGCCACCGCCGGTGGCGGTGGAGCTGGCAGTGGTTCCGCCTTCGTACGTGGCTTTCTAGCAATGATAATAACCCTAATCACCATAACATGCGTCGTCAGCATCATAACATGGCTCGTTCTACGCCCCGAAATCCCCGTTTTCCACGTGGACAAGTTTGCCGTCTCCGGTCTCAACATATCCGGCCCCGAATTCTCTGCAAAATGGGACGCCAGCGTCACCGTTGAGAACCCGAACCACAAGCTGAAAATCTACTTGGAACAAGTGCAGGGTTTCGTTTATTACAAGGAGAACTTCTTGTCCTCTTCGCCGGTCGACCCTATGTTGTTGGAGACTCGTAGCCGCAACTCGATCGCGATGAAGCTGGCGACGAACAACACGGAGCAGCACTTGGTGGGGCGTTGGGTGGAGGAGGACATCGCCAAGGAAAGGAGCGGCGGAGCGGTGAGTTTCAACTTGAGGATGTTGGTGTTGGCCACGTTCAAGTCAGGCGCGTGGTGGACGAGACATGCCTCCATGAAGGTTTTTTGTGAGGATTTGAAGGTTAATTTTGTTGGGGGTGAGATTAGTGGAGTGTTGGATATTGGTGGTGGGAAGCCTGAAGATTGTGTCGTTTATTATGCTTGAGGAAAATGGCAATGGAAATGGAATTTCCTTTTTTCTTCTTTTAGGGAAAATAATTTTTATTGTTATTAATCTATCATTTCATTTTTCTTCTGAGGATTGTCTATACCAATATTTTAATGCTATAGAATGTTGTGGACGCACGGGGATGAGTGGAGGCACAGCTGTTTTGTTTTGTTTTTTGCCTTGGAATTTTGTCTTTGAAACTTTTGGTTGTACAGTTTACACATTATTTTTTCTCTGAATTAGTTGGATATTGGTGATCGGCGTTTTATATGGTTTTTCAAACTCAGAAAATTTTCAGAATGAAATTATATCTTATTATAGTGGCGAATATTCTGAACCGTTGGACTTTTATCAAATTCACTTATCTTGTTTAAAGACTGGTTTTCTTTCCCTTTCCATTTCATGTGTTTTCCCTCTTTTTTACAAGGTGTTTGGTATGAGGATTCGTGCCATGGTTCGAATTATAGTTCGTTGTTCGTTACTGTTTTTTCTCACAAAAAACACACGTAAATCGAGAATGATTCTAAATTATAGTTCTGAATCCATAAACTAAACGCCCACTTAATGTTTTCCGTAAACAAACTCTAGTCAGAACTAATTAGAAGCTCTCCTTTCGTGCAAATTTCTCGGATATATGTGCTAAGAAAATAATAGTATTCATCTTTGAGCATTAGTAGCAAATCTATAATATTGAGCAGAGTACATCGGTCTTGGGCATATACAAAACACTTTCTTTCATCAGAAACTACTGTCCCCCCAGTTCTTCATGGCAGGGAATTCTACAAGTCCTTCATTCTCTTTTCTCGTTAAAAAAAAAAAAAAAAAAAAATCATTGGTTCCATTTCGCCCCCATTCCGTAGAAAAAGCTTCGGGGCTCACCAATGAAATGGAAGCAGCTGACTCAATTATTCTACTCGAAAATGAGTCTAATAATTTAATACAAACCACCATGAATCTTACACCGCACAATTTATTAATCGGATAAGACCTTCTATACTAAAGCTACCAAAATTCGAATTTGTGCACCCTGGAATAAAGGAAATGCATCCGTACGTGATCATCTTTTCTTTTCTAATATATTCATGTACGTGTTGTCTTATGCTGAAATAAAAATAATCATTCGAGATTTAAGTACTATATCTATTTGCATATCCCTACACCCTACTAATAGTAGCACGATAGTCCAAGAGATTAAATAATCAATTTGGCCTTTTTTTTTTTTTTGTTTTTTGAGAAGAAAGAAAGTATCAAAAGATACAATCCATGGTGGAAAAACAAATCCAACGAAATAATGTCTTTTTCTATCCAACGAGCAAATAAGAATAAATCATGTAATGTTAGAAAAACAACACATAAGATTCATTTAACTGTCTGAAAGAAGAATAAAGACATAAAAATCATAAGATTAAAAGGCTTTAAAGATACCATTTCGAGCTTGCAAGGTATGTATTTTAAAAAAAATTATTTTATTGAAATTTTAAGAAAATAAGAGGGATGAACTCATCTTATATTGATATAGGATTGCGATGACTTCAGAATATTAGTTAATATCAGGATTTATATTCAACCAAAGTTGAATGCTAAACCGCAGTTAAATTTCTAGTGTATGTGGAGGATTGCAGTATTCAACCAAGGTTGATTTTATTTTTTTATTTACTTTATATTTATATTTTATACTTTATTTTATATATTTTATTTATGTAAGAGGGAGTAAGGAATGAAGGCCTTCCTTACCGGTCTCTTTTTAATACATAGCAAAGTAAAACACTTTTAGGGAATCAAACTCAATAAAAACCGGTAATAAAAACAAGACTAGTTGTGATAAGATATAAGAGCGGAGAATTTTGAAATGTAAAAGTAACTGATGAAATGCAGTTATCGTAATAAGGGGAAATTATGGAAACTATATTAGCAGACATCTACAATTAGGATAATAGTAATACAATTTAACATTAAAAAGATATTAAAACATATTTTTTTAAAGAATTATGAAGATGAAAAAGAGTAAGTTATGAGGAAAGTTTATTATTTTTTTTATTTTGATTTTTAACTTAAGAGGAAAGTTAAGTAATGTAGCATTTAGAAGATCATTGACTTTTCTGTTATTTAATGATAAGAACTAAATATAATGATAAGAAGTTGTTATCATAAAAACTAGATAATATGAGTAAAACTTTAAGAAAAGAACTATTGAAACACAAAGGGGAAACTATTTAAACTCTTACATGAAGAGACTAATGAAACTCAAGAGAAAAGAATATTACACTGATAAAAAAAAAAATTGTGATGTACGAAATATCAGTTGTAACAAAACAGAGAGAGAAAATCTAAGAGTAAAGTATAACTATGATACAAGACAATGGCATAGGTTATTACATACAGATAGACAACAACAAGTGTAGCAGAATGTGAGTTAATTGGAAAAATCAATTAGGTAAAGGAACATGAATAAAATCTTGACATAACACAGAAAAACTCAGATAAACAAGGATAAACTCAAAGATATTTGAAGAAAAGAATGCCATATAGTGGGAATATATATGGATTACAGAAGAAGTTCTAACCAAATCTTGTTACCAAACAAAGAAAGAGGAAAATAATCCTAGTCTATACAAATCATCAAAAACTATTCACACAGTGCTCAATACAAATACTTGATCTATAACATATTTAGGTCAGTATCGATACTACTATACTATTATAATATAGATATAAATTAGTTAGGAAAACATAAAAGAAATTGTAGAACTTCACTATTTTCTAAAGTAACGGAAAGATAATCAATACATCATACTAAAACAATCAAATTATGCCAAGTAATACCATACTCTAACTGAATTACCCAAAGAGAAAACAAAGTTATATAAACAAACTTCTGAATGTAAAAAACAAATTCTTAAAATAAAGCAAAATATGAACAAGTGGTGATGATAAAAAAAAAAATACTTGTAAATCCATGAGATGAGACTCAAACCGAGAAGATCCAATTAATGATTACAGGCAATGCTGCGTTAGAACCGTACAGAATCACTTCCAATCAAGGGAGATTGGAGATATCACACAGTACCAAACAAGAGTTGAACACAACTTTCAAGATAAAGTAAGGGATTGAAAGGAAAAATAGCATATATATTTTTCATAGGAAGGCAGAAGAGAAACAAAATCGATTAGACAGACAAAAAAACAACCACAAAGGTCATAAGAAAATGGTTACAAAGGATTCATATATGGAAGCTTTTTTCCATTTGATGATTTTGGAGGACTTTTGTAACATATTATATGCACCTGCAGGTGTTGGCACTAAAGAGCAGC